TTCTCTTCTCTTCTCTTCTCTTCTCTTCTCTTCTCTTCTCTTCTCTCTTCTCTTCTCCTCTCCTCTCCTCTCCTCTCCTCCATTCCATTCCATTCCATTCCATTCCAGTTTTTGAACCCTGAGGGCAAATCAGAATTTAGGCAGCCCTGTTCTCAGAATAACCGAGTTGGAAGGGACCTTGGAGATCTTCTAGTCCAACCCCCCCCGCCAGAGCAGGAAACCCTGCACCATTTCAGACAAATGGTTGTCTGATCCCTTCTTAAAAACCTCCACCGATAAAGCCCCCGCCTCAACCTCTGGAGGCACATTCACAGTGGTGCTTTTGCACAACCTAGACCAAACTTCTAAGCCTCTCTCTACAATTTATGTACTTTTAAGGTCCTGAAGAGAGCCATCCTTCTAATGGTTAGTTTTCAAACTTTCTGTGGTATCTCCAATAATCATGACAAAGACTGCACCAAGAGTATTTTGCTACCAAATCAAGTTATGTCTGTCTTGCTTGCTTCTCTAAAATCTAAAGGCAGGCACCCAAAAGCAGATTCTGCTAAGGTGCAAACCGTCTTAAACTGCACAAAGCTAAATTGAATGACGATGATAGTTTGGCTTCTGTGTGAGATGTAGACAGGCACGTCATGTCCATGTTAGACATCTACCGTAGGAAAAGGAGCAAGGATTAGTATGGAAACAACCCACACAACCTTGGACCTTCTAGCTCGTCATCCCGTTTCCAAAAGTCCATTGGAAAAAGAATTCTTGAGACCTTAGGGTTCTTCTAATTCAAAACTTTGAATTAAAAAAGAAATATCTTGTTTATGATTAACAGAATTGGAAGGGAGTTTGGAGCTAACTGCAACCCTCAAATCAGGCAGGAAACCCTATTCCATGTCAGACCAATGGTTTCCCAATCTCCGGTCACAAACCTCCCGTGATGGAGCATGCAGAACCTCTGTTGGTCCACTGATTAATTGTTCTAACTGCCAGAAAACTCCTCCTTATTTCGGTGTTGCTTCTCTCCTTGATTAGTTTCCATCCATCCATTCTTTTCTTCAAGTGCTTTGGGGAATAGGTTGACCAAAGCACCTGAAGAAAGAACAAGAAGCAAAGGATGGAAAGCATTAGAATTACAGGAGAGCAAAGCTGTCCACAAAGATGGATTTATACTCCAGGAAGACATCATCTTGCGCCCTACATAAAGTCCCACCTCTGCATAGAGATAGAGATCAGAGATAGAGATGGAGACTGGAGATTAGAAATTAGAGACTGGAGATTGAGATTGGAGATTAAAGATTAGAGGCTGGAGAAGGAAATAGGTTGGAGATTAGAGATTAGAGGCTGGAGATGGAGATAGATTAGAAATTGGAGATTAGAGGCTGGAGACAGAAATAGATTGGACATTAGAGATTAGAGGCTGGAGACTGAGATAGGTTGGAGATTAGAGACTGGAGACAGGAATAGATTGGAGATTAGAGATTAGAGGCAGGAGATGGAGATAGATTGGAAATTGGAGATTAGAGGCTGAAGACTGAGATAGATTTGAAATTGGAGATTAGAGGCTGAAGACTGAGATAGATTGGAGATTAGAGATTAGAGGCTGAAGACAGAAATAGATTGGAGATTAGAGATTAGAGGCTGGAGACAGATAGATTGGAAATTGGAGATTAGAGATTAGGTGAGGGAGAGGGGGAGGGAGGGAGGGAGGGAGGGAGGGAGAGAGAGAGAGTGTGTGTGTCAATGTTGCACAATGCAGTAACACAGCTGATTTTTTAAAAAATAAAGCTAGGAGCCAAATTTATATGTTTGAGGGAATGTTTTTCCATCAACAGCTCCTTTCCTGCTTTCCTCTGGAAGCGGTGGAGATGGGAGAACGTCAAAAACGAAATCCTAGCCAACATCACTACCCGAAATTGCACCGCGTACATGTTCCTTCAAGTGAATGGGACTCGATGAAGGTATCGGCTGCCTTTCAATTTACAGGAGCCTGAAGTGAAGTCCTCTACTCTTATGGCCCTTGGGGAGTCCATTTCTCTGGGTTTGGAAGAGGTCTTGCCATGCGCCTTGATTCCCATAGTTGAAACAAGCACACTCTTGAAGAAAGCGCCAACCTAAATTGGCAGGCGATGCCTTAGACCGACTGTTTTCACAATTGCCTCAGGACGTAGATGGGTCAGGCTGTTGTGGGAATATTGGATAGGAGTCAGGCCTGGAGTGAAACAAATGCCATCCAGTCAGTCACGTGGAGGGATTAGCTGAAAAGAAATGTGTGCATAGAAATAGAAATCATAGAAAGGAATAGAAAGGAAATAGAAATAACAATAGAAAAGAAGGAAGGAAGGAAGGAAAGGAAAGGAAAGGAAAGGAAAGGAAAGGAAAGGAAAGGAAAGGAAAGGAAAGGAAAGGAAAGAAGGAAGGAGGGAAGAAAGAAATGAAAGGAAAGGAAGGAAGGAAGAAAGGAAAGGAAAGGAAAGGAAGGAAGGAAGGAAAGGAAAGGAAAGGAAAGGAAAGGAAAGGAAGGAAAGGAAAGGAAAAGAAAGGAAAGGAAGGAAGGAAGGAAAGGAAAAGAAGGGAAAGGAAAGGAAAGGAAGGAAGGAAGGAAGGGAAAGGAAAGGAAAGGAAAGGAAGGAAGGAAAGGAAAGGAAAGAAGGAAGGATGGAAGAAAGAAAGGAAAGGAAAGGAAGGAAGGAAGGAAGGGAAAGGAAAGGAAAGGAAAGGAAGGAAGGAAAGGAAAGGAAAGGAAAGGAAAGGAAAGGAAAGGAAGGAAGAAAGGAAAGGAAAGGAAAGGAAAGGAAGGAAGGAAAGGAAAGGAAAGGAAAGGAAAGGAAAGGAAAGAAGGAAGGATGGAAGAAAGGAAAGGAAAGGAAGGAAGGAAGGAAGAAAGGAAAGGAATGGAAAGGAAGGAAGGAAAGGAAAGGAAAGGAAAGGAAAGGAAAGGAAGGAAGGAAGGAAGGAAAGGAAAGGAAGGAAGGAAGGAAGGAAGGAAGGAAGGAAGGAAGGAAGGAAGGAAGGAAGGAAGGAAAGGAAAGGAAAGGAAAGGAAAGGAAAGGAAGGAAGGAAGGAAGGAAGGAAAGGAAAGGAAAGGAAACGAAAGGAAGGAAGGAAGGAAGGAAAGGAAAGGAAAGGAAAGGAAAGGAAAGGAAAGGAAAAGAAAGATGGGAAAGGAAGGAAAGGAAGGAAGGAAGGAAGGAAGAAAAGAAAGAAAGACCACACTGACTGTATGTGATATTTATGAGCTGCTGCATTTACTTAAAAAAGATAGGGCATGGTTTTATTTTTATTCTCTCAACCCAAAATGAGTTATGGGGTCCTGGGTGCTCTCTGAGCTGGCTTGTTTTCTTGCAGACGTTTCATCACCCAACTAGGTAACATCAACAGTGCTAGGAGGAAGTGGGGTTTGCGGGGAGGAGGAGGAAGAGGATGAGGATGAGGAGGAGGAACAGGAGGAGGAGGAACAGGAGGAGGAGGAGGAGGAGGAGAAGGGCTTTGGGGTCCTTGGTGCTTAGTGGTTTTCTTGCAGACGTTTCATCACCCAACTAGGTAACATCATCAGTGCTATATCACCTAGCACTGAACGAAATGAAACATCTGCTAGAAAACAAGCAAGCTCAGAGAGCACCCAGGACCTCCACAAGTCACTTTTATTTCAGTGCCATTTGCACGAAATCCATTATGGTCATATTTGGTCATAAGTTTGAGGCATGGCCTCTATTGCGCAGAAGAGGAGGACGGGGAGGGAAGGAGGGAATCGATTCCGAATTGTCCCATCTACCATTCCTAACTAAGCCAGTCCTTGCCTTGGCAGGGTTTGAATGCAGGACAAAAAGGCTATTTTTACAGCATCGTGAGCATCTACGACAGCCGGGGGCAGCGAGAAACCTTGTGCCACCGATACATGTCCAGCCTTCAGCGCCAAAACGTGCTGGGTGAGTGTAAGGCGAGACCGACCTCTGGCATCGGCGATGCGGAGAAATTTGGAGGAACCACGGGTTTTACAAAATCTGGAGATGACGATGAGGTCAGTTTTATGGGCCGTGAAAGCACATCTCTCTCACAGCCGGAGCTCACGCTGGTTTCAACAGGCAGGGCTCGCGCAGCCTTCGGCCAAAAGCTTTGTTCCACTCAGCAGGACGAACATCCATGCGCCTTCGTGCGCTCGGATGCTATTTATGCCACGTCAGTTTATCTTCAGTGTCTATCCACCACCGTGCTCCAAACACGCCCCGAGACAGCTGAAAAATAAATGCTTTGGAGTGAATCTTTCGCTATCCCGGAAGCCTCCAAAAAGAGAAAAATCAGACTTAGGCATAAAATTCAGGGGTGGAGTTCAAAATTTTGTTACTACTGGTGGCTTGGTGGGCGTGACGTGGCTTGGTGGGCGTGGGAGAGGAAAAAGTCCCCCCAAATATTGGAATGATGTAGTGGGAGGATTTTGACTTGGAATCAGAATGCGCAGGTGGACAATTCCTGTCTTTGGGGTGAGCCAAACGTCTGAACCTGCAAGCCAGAATTCAAACGAGAACCTGCTTCCCTGCTGAATTGGTGAAAATTTCTCTCGGTTTTGTTTTCCTTCCAGTACCACCGATGTCCCCCATTTTGGCTTGCTATCCCTTTTTTCTAAATGTATTTGTTTTTAAATGCTCAACTCACACCCCTAAAATCATTCCCCACCCCCTGTTGGGCTCAGCGTTGTCCCTGACAGACAGGTGGCCTTTTTCGGACGAGAGTCTTTCCAAGCTGGGTTAAAATGTTGTGATCTTGAAGCAGCAACACTGCAGGGCTTATGACAGAAATGTCCATGGAAAGTCTCCATCATCCAGGTCATGGCTGTCCCAAAGGTTGTTGTTGTTGTTGTTGTTGTTTCTTCTTCTTCTTCTTCTTCTTCTTCTTCTTCTTCTTCTTCTTCTT